TTTCTAAAAGTTATATCAATATCAATACCAGGCATTAGGAACAGTATTACCAACTTCTCAAACCATGCCAACAAGAATTACTTATGTATACTCAAGAAAATAGCAAGCGATAAACTCAAAAAGCAATTCTAAATGTAAGTAATATCTCTGGCAAAGGGTGATCGTTACTGATAAGATTCATATGTATGTCTGTTCCAGCAGGCATCCCCTGAAAGAAGGAGAGTTCCTTCTGTCTATGCAGGCAATAAAGATGTTGGTAGAAAGCCTTCGTCAGCCACAAACAGCATACTCATCGACCATTTGAAGCAGTCAAGATGGTCCAGAGCCAAAACAACGCCAAAAGGCGGGAAATCATGTCCATAAAGAATCTTCAGAGCCATAGAAGAGAATAGCTTCTTCTGTTGCTCTAATTTCTGGACTCCCTGTTATTCCTCATTCCAAAGTCCTTGACAGCGTCAATAATGCTCTAAAATGGTGCATTACGGCTTATGCCGTCGGCCAAATAGCTCAATAGCAAATATATAGTATGTAGTAGCTGATAGAGGAACAATAGGAAACAATCTCACAATGGAGAAGAATGCACCGGTGGCAATGTTGGCCACTAACAAAATACTAGCCTTTATTCGGTTTGCTTAAAGCTTCTTAAGCTACAAATATGTATAAATAGTGTCGATTTATTTCCGTTTCATTAACCTAGGGAACTGATTTCAGTATTGTGTGTTTCTTTGGATATTTGGGGACTACCTCCTCTCCAATTGTCACATCTTCCACTTAGTGGTTTCCTCCTTTTGCTGGTTCCCGCTGCTCCAAATCTTATGTTTGATTAAATTAGTTGTCAGCTTGTATTCACTCTGTTTTCACTTTCATTCTTTATAAACATTTTCAGTTTCCTTTTGTTGCTGTTGTTGCTGTTGCTTTGGCTGTTTCTGCTGCTGCTGCTTGATTGTTTGTAGTGTGTATTCCCTTGTCCAATTAAACGCTTTTTTCCAGCCGCCCGCAAACGCAACAACCAGACCAGAACAGAACGGCACGGAGCTGAGAGCAACAACAAAAAGTTTTTTGATTAAAATTAAAGAAAGTTTCTCGACTCGGCTCAAGAGTCAAGTGGATCCAGGGGATGGGGAGGAGGGGGAGATGGAGATGGAGCTGGAGCTGGAGGTGGTGGTGGAGGTGGTGGTGGAGACGGCAAACACCCAAGGGGAGTGCCAACAAGTGGCCAAAAGGACCGAATGAATGAATCCCCCAGAAATGCATGATACGAGAAAGCTGCGTAAGCCAAACCAGGAAAGAATTTACAAAATAAATTACAAATAACAATGAAAACAAGAAAACAAATGTATAACTGCGGAAACCAAAGGCGGTGATACTCTTTTACACATCGATTATTTCAATAACATCTTTAAATACATATAGATTTGATAGAATTATGTACAAAAGCAAATCAAGCTTTGCTCATGAGGAATCTACTTGTGGCCCAATTTAAATCCAATTTGGTTGACTAGAATTCGGGAATGGTGTCGTATGAAAGAGATATCATTTCTCTGAATTGAGAAATCAGTAGTGCTTCCTTCTCTACCTTCCAATCGAATGACTCCTTTTAAGGGTATTACTTTAACCAGCCTCCAATGATGTGAGCCACTGTCACAGCCACAGTTGGCCAAGTTAGACAACAAGCTAACAACAGCAAAGAAATTGGCATCGTTTCAATGCAGCGAAAACTTATTCAAAGTCAATTGCCGAGAGCGGGCGCGTTTAAAACAGCGCCGAAAACGAGACATTTTCCACGCTCCTCCACACCACCCCGCCACCCCGCCACCCCTCCACTCCTGCTCGCTCCCCCACCCACACTCCCGCCCCCGTCAGACCGCAAGCAAAATTACTTGGCAGATTCAAATGAGCATTTGAAGCATTTCCATGGACAACTTTTTCTCTGTCTCTGGCTCAGGTCTGGCTCTTATGTGCGCGCGTTTTTTCTCGCCAGCGCGGAAATTGTAATGAATAATTTTGCTTTTAACTGTTTTGAGGGGAAGCTGCAGAGTAGACAGCGTGATTGAGGGTGCCAGGGGGAGCGAGTGGATCAGGGAGACAGATTGGGACGGTAGCAGGGATGTTGGATGTTGGCACGCAACCTGCTTCGGATGGCCGATGTTGTTGGGTTTAGTTTTTGGCTTCGTTCGGCTGCGTTGACAAACCACTCTCTACGTCTTCCGCCAGAGGCGTTGTGCCCCCTCCCAAGTCGCTCCTTCAATTTCCCTCTAAGTACAAACTTTATAAGATGATGGAATTTAGCAAAATCCCTGCCACAAAAGGCGATTCGCTGTTGCAAACAATTTAGATTAGATCCATTTAGACTGTTATTTAAAGTTGTATATCCAGAGATTCGAGCCACAACAAATTCTTGTATGCTGCAGATTAAGAATTTAATTATATGTACATATGTTCAGTTCTCCAATCGACCCCCCTTCAGCACACCTCTGTCAGGGGCAAGGAGACTCATATAGGAAGCGCCACAAAAATTCGCCACTACATTTGGGCGGCTGTGGCTTCAATTAAGTTTGTATTTTCTTCTTACCTTTTCTTATTGCTAGAAAATAGTTGGAAAATGCTGGAAATAAAGAAATTTTAAATAGTTTTTGCTGAAATTTAGTTGATTATTTTTCAATTTAGCTTAAAATGCAGTAAATTAATTGAAATATTTTAGAAATCTCTCTCTTTAATTAAGCAAAAATGCTTTAATCTCTAGATATTTGTTAGTTGTCACCTCTCCGCAGAGTATGGCTGGAGTCACCGATGGCCAGGCGGTGGACGGGAGATCCCAAGGCTAGTAGTGCACCCGCCAGAGAAAAATCCATTTAAACCAGTTCAGAGAAAAGAAAGAGAAAGAGATAGATTAAGAGGCAGAGTGGACTCCCCATCTGGTTTGGTGATTTGGTCTCTCTATCTCTCCCGCTCTCTCGAATTGCAGCATTTCACCCAAAATGCGACAACCTGAGGCGCATTTCCGTGACAATAATTGGCGTTGGCCAAGAGATCTATACGTATACGTATACGTATACGCTTCCTCCAATCGCCCACCGAAAACTCGTTCCAATTGACTTGGTCGCACTGATTTAGTTTCGATTGTGGATTGCATAAGTTTCATTCCGTTTGGAAACGCATCGACGTTTCCTGGGCCCCCACCCAGACCTGGATTTGGATATGGACCAGTACCAGTACCTGTACCTGTAGCTGGACTCGCCCCCTGCAACCCTAATTAGTTTTCGGAGCCAAATGTGCATAAATTATGCCGATCCAAATAACAGACTGCCATCTGACACACACACACACACACACACACACACACACACACACACCAGATACATACCTCGATATTGCCTTGAATTAGTGGCGACAGTTCGGCAGTTCGGCAGTTCTGGTGGCACCTGATGACAGAACCGAACTCCATATGCCATGTCATAGACCATTTAAATTTGGGGGATATAATATGTACGTACTGGTCTGCAATTGGAAATTTTCGCGGAGCAAATGAAAATCTATTTCATTTTAAAGCTGATGCAATTGCTGGTGTCTCGTACAAATTGGTTTTGTCGCTATTCAATTCGATAATATTAGATGAAATTCGATGGCAGTTGACACTTTTCCAGCATACATATTCGATGCGTTCGTTTTAATCTGACATCATATAGTATTTATATGCATTTGGAATCATACTAGCAGGTGTGCGAAACGAATCCACCAATCTGTGGAGGGTACAGTTACAAGGCACATGGGCATTCAACAAGTCGGAGTCGATTGGGACTGTCTTGCTTCGCCCACAGTCAGACATTTTCCATCTGTTATTTCGGCCACGTATTAGCAGCTTCTGGTATTGTGGTGTTACCTCCGCATGTACCCGGCTAAACCTACCAGAAGAGAACACTTTTACTATCTAATCAACCGGCAACACATTTTCCACGCAATCCTCGCAATCCCAGCAGTTATTGCGCACAAGCCTGATGTTCCTGCCCATCGACATCATCGTTGGCACTACTAATTATAACACTTTCCTGTCCAACCTGGCAGCACCATCCGAATAACAATTAAATGGATGTTAGCTGCAAAGGGGGTAAAGCCGGATCCGAGCCGGAGTGCTGTACGTACCCGTAAGTAAGCCTTTTAAGTACTTCCACGGCAACTGCATATTCCACTGCCACTCGGTACTCGGCACTCGGCATATTCTTCATTTCCGGCCCGGGACGGAGACTAAAGACTGGTGATCGGGGCGGCGTGGGGGGGAGAGAGTACCTTAAACTTGCCGCACACTCACACACATTTTATGTTTGGCTGCAAATTGGGGTTTTTTATGCGACATGCCCCCCTGGCATGGCCATTTGTTCGGATGCACAAGGTAAAGGGGAAAATGTGATGTGATGTGATGTTGTTGTGTTTTGTTGGTGTTTTGTTGGTGTTATTGCTGAAGTAACAGTTAACAGTTAAGTTTTACGGAAAGCCACTTGATTTTATTAGGAACACTCGTAAAATCATCGCCCGTTGTAAACGGTTCGTTCAGCAACGGAAATGGCCCTACCCTGGCTTTCCGCTTGCCCTTGGCCTGGGTTATCTGTGGGTAATGCGAATACAAAACTCTTAATGAGTGGAAAGTTAATCCCAATAGGGCAAGGAGGTAACCGAAGAGCTGATCGTTTATTGTAATGTGAAGAATTAGTGGAAAATGTAATGAGCCATAGAGTTCTTTGTAGAGTTTAAATTCTACTCGTACGCGTATCGTCGATTGTCTGGGAACAGACTGCGACTTAAACACACAAAATACAAAATCAAATCCGGTTGTGGCAGCCCACCTAAAAAGGATGATGCAAGCCATGACAATGACCAAGGCCTAGGCCCCTGCCTCTGCCTCTGCCTCTGCCTGTGTCTCTCTACGGCTATGCACCTCTGTAATGGTAATGTTAATCGGTTAATGGCCATCGGATGGTGGCTGGTGGCTGGTGGCTGCTCCACAAATGGGGGCTCAGCTGGATGGGATTGGACTGCAGCGACACCACCAGGTGCTTGCCCCCGTCTGTGGCAAGTGGCCGCCAGCTACCAGCTCCAAGTGGTGCAGGCACTTGCAGGCCCAGGTATAAAATGCCCAAGAGCTGGCGAACCAATTTCACTCTCACTTTGTTAGCCAACACGCGAACCGCCTGCATCGAGACGGGCGCGACTTCAGTGCGACTGCGACTGCCATGCAATTGAAATTTGGTTTCATTTTCGTTTTGTTTGCTTAAAGGCCACACAAGTCTGGATATATACATATATATACACATATATATATCCTATATAATTACACATTTTATAACAGTGAAAAGTGCTTCATTTGTTGGTTTTTAGTTGGTTTTTTTTTTAACGTTTTTATTATATTGTTTGTTGTTTGTTGTTGTGCGTAAAGCGAATTTTAATTGAGTGACAGAAGGAAACAAATGTACATACGAGTAGGAAAAAAGTGTGAATAAACATAAAACAGTACGAGTATTGCTTTTAAATAAACAAAGCCAACAACTGGAATAATGGCTCTCTTACGGGTGAATAATGCAAAATAGGATTAAAATTATAATAATTGCCATCGAGCTAACCAAAAGTTTGCCCAATCAAATATTCATGATAATGCGAGTATGGGTCGCCGTTATTTTGATTTTGATTGCTTCCACACGACTGGAAGGCACTGAGTATATGTACTCACGGTTCAGATAAGCGGAAGATTAATTAACAATGATAGGTGCTTACTCAGTGTTTGGCTGAAGGGTAACCTTTAATGAATGTTGTCCTTTCTGTTGTGGGATTATGTCTTTAAACCGGATTCAGATAGGCAAATGCAAATAATCCTGTAAACAGACCATTTCTAGATCTGTATATCCCACTTATAGCCACTTAACGATACATTTTAGTTGCATTTCAGCTAAATCATGCATTGTATTTGTAAGATAATAACTTCAATGAACTGAAAGATGGGTGTTTCTTTGAGAGTTTTGGCTACCTGGAGATTGTAACAAAAGAAAGTCCGACAGTATCCGACAGCTATTGTTATAGGAACTTGATCTTACAGCTGAAATGAATACTGAATGATAATTAAATACCTTTGTGCGGCATAGTGTGGCATGTTCATTGTACGAGTACAACTGTAGGCCCCAGCATAATTATTAGTTGGTCATTAATCGTGTGTGCCGTGCTATAATAATAGCAATAATGGGCCACAAGAGCGGTAAACAATTGCAGCACGTTGCACAGTTCGATGGCAGCGCGGGCTTGCAGAATGAAATTTGTATAATTGCATTTATAAATCAATTTAATTAAATTATTATTAAATTACTGAGCAAATATTTTTAATCAAGCTCCTCTTTCCCGACATTTAATGTGCCAAATTAACGATAAATATCAAGATAGCGAAACCAACAGAAATGCAAAAATATATTTAACTTGATTTCTTGTTTGATTAATTTAATACGATTTTGTTTGACTTTTGCATGGCCATGGCCAGGTGCTGGCTGTCATCGGCTTCTGCCTTGTAGCGGTCAGCGGCGGGGAGGAGATCGAGACTCTGGCGCCCAAGGCAGCAGACAAGGTCGAGGATTCAGTCACCACCAAACTGACGCCCAGCATCGCAGAGGACCCCAAAAGTAAGACGGAGAAGCGGGACTCATCAGATCAGACAGGTAATCCCACTCCGAGTAGTTGATCCCTTCGAGTAGCAATCATTGAAAAATGCCATTCATCAGCGGGAGAAGCTCCGCCTGGACATGGGCATTGCAATGAAATATTTTGCAATTTGTAATTTGCATTCTTAATTTGTTTCCCGACTTGTCTGCCACCCATCCATCCATCCATCGATTTATCCATCACAGGAGCCATCTTCCCGGGCAGGCCCACAAAGGATACACCATTCCGACCCATCTACCCTTCGGCCAACTTCTATGAGGCGCCAACGCAAATCTTTGGACCCACGACCGTTCGCTACACGGCAGCGGAGGCGGCACCGCAAGTATGCCCAAGCAGAAGCCACAGGCGAATGCATTTAATTAACGCAACAAAACCACCCCACCCCAACCCACCCCCACTGTAGAACTACTACGATAAGCCGGAGAGCGGAGCGGCAATTCGATATGGCCCCCCGCCATCAGGACCGTCCGGTGCGGGGGCAGGATCGCATAAGCCTCCGGTGCAGTATGCCCAGCAGGGGCCGACCACGGCGCATCGCTTCAGCTTTGCAGCTGCACCGCAAGTGGAGCTCTATCAGCGGCCAGCCGCCACTAAGTCGGTTTCATTGGGACCGGGAGGAACCCACCAGCAACAGCAGCAGCAGCATCAGCAACAGATTTTCAATTACGGCGATGTGGAATCCGAGGGAGGACCCATTTATGAACGAGCGGGACCACAGCAATACCAATTAACTCTGCCCCACCACCACAGCCACCACAAGTTTCAGCAGCTAAGTGCACCGCGGCAACAGCGCATTCAATACATCATTGCCATACCACTCTCCTACATGCGTCAGCTGCAGCAACAGCAGCAGCAGCAACAGCAGCAGCAGCAACAGCAACAACAGCTGCAACATCATCTGTTGGTGGCTCAACCAACACCATCCGCCAGTCCTGCCAGCAGCACCTCCACCACCTCCAGCACATCCACTAGCTCTGCACCAGCGTCAACGGCAACGCCGGGGCCTAGGCATCATTCCATCACGCAGCTGTTCGGACCGCTGGCTCGTGATCATCAGGGCTTGTATCGACCCTACTATCAGTCGGATGCAGCCAATGCACCACTGACGGGGATAGGCACCCCGGCTGGGCCAAGCCCGCCCAGAAACCAGCAGCAGTATGTCCAGATACCAGCCAGTCTGCTCCTTGCCGCCGCCCAGCAGCTCCAGCAACAGCATCAGCAGCACCAGCAGCAGTCCCAACAGCAGGCGGTCTATGCCAAGGCTGCACCACCACCCACCTATCAGCAGCTCATCTATCAGCCACAGCCACAGGCACCACAGCACCACCCCCAGCTGCAACTTCAGCGTATCTTCCTGCAACCGCCGCACGCTCAAACATCAGCTATCTACGCCGAACAGCCAGGCGGCCCTTTGTATGGTAAGCACAACTGTACTGTAACGAGACTGTACTTATAAACAAGGAGCTATAATCGCAAAAACCTATGCAGTGACGGAATTGAGAGTTGGCATAACTTTTCAAAAATAACTTTTCAGTTTACCGCTGTTTAACAAATTCTATGTCTTTACTGTATTGTAAATAGTTCAATAGAAACAGCTTAGAGACTGTAACTCTCGCTCTCACCGTGCAGGAAACTGTACCGTCTCATATACGAGTATGCAGGCACTGTAACTCTTTTTAACTCTCATGCAGCAACTGTACCTTCTTCCTGCTGTCACTAAGCAACTGCATCATTTCCTCCCGGCTGTTATTCCGTGGTGGTGCCGCTATAGCAGCAGGCATTCTGCTTCTGATTAGTTTGCCTCGGGGGAAGTAGCAAACGGAACTCTACTTTGACCCAGACATCAGGACTTAGGGACATCGGGGCAATTAGTGACGCTAATTTAACAGACTGCAAAAACGCCTTGGGCATGGAAGAAGGGCAGCAGCAGCAGTAGCATTGAGAGATGATGGGAGCAGCGTGTAACAATCTGCTTTTTTGTTGTATCTTTCAGCATATCCGCTACATCAACAGCAGCGGATGAAACAGTCACAGCAGCAGGAGCAGCAACAACACAAATACACACCGGCATCGGGATCCGTGGCGGGGCCAACAGCAGCAACAGCAACAGAAGCAGCAGGAGTAACAGGAGAAGTGGCAGCAACAGCGCCGGCAGCAACAGAACCGGCAACAGCAACACGTCCAGCCGCCCAGCACTTACCCATCGTGCACTACAATCCAATTTACGTGCAGGCACCCGCCGAGCAGCAACAGCAGCTACAGCAGCAGCAGCAACATCAATTTGCCATATTGCCACGTTTTAGCAATAATAACCCAAAGGCCGCTTACCATCTGGGGCATGAATCAACGCCACCGATTCATGTTGTCAGATTGTCAGCGGCTGGTGCCCCCGGCCCGCCCATCCACCATTTCCATCACTATCAGCCGGGTCCGGGCTCGGGCTCAGTGCCGGTTTTGCAACAACTTTATCATGCCCCGCAGCAGCAATACGTATCGCCATATGCCCATGCTACCGAAGAAGTTCCTCTTCCTGGACCCGTCTCAATGCCCACTACGGTGCCTGGCATGACCCACGCCTCGCCAGCGATTATTCCATATTTCAGCCATCCGGGTGCCGTGCATTATGGCACGCATTTGTATCACCCGGCAGCGGCAGCCACGGCAACGGGAACGGGAACGGGACCGGCAACGGGCTCAACAGCAGCCACAGCAACACTAAGAGGAGGAGTAGGTGCACCATCAAGCAGCAAGCAGCAGTCAACGGTTGGTGCAGCCGCAACAAGTGGAGGACACTCACCAGGTGGCGGCAACAATATTGTGAAATATCCCTAAAGCATTCAACCTGATGAGGATGCCACCAGCAGAAGACGCAGAAGCAGTAACAGGAACAATCGCTGGCCCATTTCCCATCCCTTAGTATGGGAGGGACACCCGTTTATTATACCCTTGCGGAGGGTATTTTTATATTGAACAGATGTTTGTTACGCAAAAAATTAATTGTTTCCGAACCTATACAACTTTTTACGAGCATATAAATATTATTGATCTACATCAACAGTGGAATATAGGGCCGTACCATTCGATAAGTCTGCAAATGAGTGACTTTTTCAACGTTTCAGTATCAGAGCAGCAAAGATCAATCACATTTGCATATAGCTTTCAATAATTTTGGTGGGAAAATTCAAATCAAATCACTATTACCGTAAATCTGGTAAAGTAAGGCATCTAAGGCCTCGATACCGAATCATTCGATGTCTCTGCTGTGTGTGGTTTCCATCACGATAATTATGTATTTTACACGATTTTTCCTGTTCCCTCTCTAACGCTGTGTATACGAGTAACACTCGGTTTGTTCTTGTTCTCTGCCGTTGTTACCTAGAAGTTTGCTTTTCATCTTTTAATGAGTTTCGGCTCGGTTTTTTTGTGTAAATATTTGATCAATTTTCCAATAGACTCACCAAATAAACACTTACATATACGGTTTCACTTTATTAGCAATTAAAACATGTTATTTGTATTATAATTTTATGATTTCTTTTATTGGTATGTTAAATAAAATTATTCTCATTCTATTTGAACGATACTCGGATTATTGCCTCAAAGTCTTTCTTTTCGAAATTTTACAAAAGTGCGGTATACACCATATTCATGACTCAATTATTAAATTATCTGAATCTATATGAACTTAAACATCAAACAGTTGAAGTCTTTTGTGGCTTCCAAAAGTAGATACTCGTCAGGGAAACAATAAACGAACGAGTGTTGGAGAAACTTTGCTGAAAATTTAAATTGTTTTAACTTAAATTCTGCTGAAAGCATATACAAATGTTCAGGTGAATAATTCACCAATTAGGTATCGTATATAATAATTCAAACAGTTTAAGGTTTGAAATTTCTGCTTGAATCAGATGCCATTTATTTCAACAGCTTAATACCAAAATCCACTTGCCATTCGACGGCTTCATAGCGAGTATTTACAGGCATCAGATTGAAAGTATAACACGATTCGAACATCGGTTAAGCAGGTTAAAGCATTAATCGCATGCCCATTAAGTGACTTATGTGGGCTTTGACAATCGACCCCAGAAATAAAACCAAATTAAGCCCTCGCTGCCATTTAATTGGAAAAATAGCACATGAATTTTTTCAAATATGATAAAGCGAATGGCATCCAACCGAATGGGTCCACGTCCAACTTCCTCTCGCGTCAAGGTGTAAATGAAAATGTCTATTAAGGAGCCATGTACATCCATGGCATCTGTGTGCGTTTGTGGTTCAGGTGACAGACAGATTTTTTGTCCGTACAATTTATTGTTAATTCGAACGTTTAATAATGAGCCACTGGATTATGCAGCAATAATTATAAGCCCTAGACCACGTTAAAGGATTCCCAATGATTCGAATTTCGAATGAAATAAATGTCCTTGACGGAGTGTTGCGAGCGGAACGGCAACTCTGGCGAAAGATAAACAGCTTCCTGTGGCTGGCAGCGGGTGACATTTTCATAAAATGCACACTTCCGATACTGGCATGAATGGAAATCCGAGCACGGATCACGCACGCCATATCCCTCTTCTTCAGCAGTTTTCCACGGACCGTTGACCAATCGGAAAGTAGATGGTGGTCCCTCCATATTGGTGGCCTTCCGTCGAAGATTGCAGTGCTTTCATTGTTGTTACCCTGTCATCGTACTGCCATTTGGGGGTGTAATAGGCACGTGGAACCAGTGAAAATGGATACAATGGGGTGCATATGGTTATTTGGTAAAAGACTTAGGAACAGATTTGATAAAATATGGATCTCTTTATACAGTCACTCATACAGTTCTATGGTTATAATGTGCCCTAATGGAAAGCTATTTTATTCCCTATTGTCAAGAAAAATACCCACAAATACTACATACTGCAACAGAATATGGAGAAAAAATGAATATAATATAAAATATTCTGATCCTTAATGTTCGTCCTTGAAGGATATGTGAGATATCCTATGAAAGGTATTAAACCATAGATCAAGAATAATTTTGGTAACTGGAAACTGCTCTTCAAAGATCTTCTGACCTTTTGATCTGATAATTTTTGGATCTACATATTTAAAAAGAAAGATTCATTATCTCCTTTCATGTTTTCAATATTCCAAAGTTTCTAAAGTTTTATTGAACCTACTTATATTTGGTATGTTTCTATATCGGTCTAGCCAAAAATAAAACTCCCAAGTGATCAACTATTGTGTGCTCTCAAAGAAGGGGTATTTCTATGTCCATCATGGAAGGGCGGTACTGGTCGGCCTTGGCGCGGCCGAGTGTGGACATGCCTTTTCAATTTGATTGCAGAGCTTTATGCGACTTCCGAGTTATCCACTTCCCTCAGAAGGGTGAGCATGGTGTAGGCGCCCTTGCACACCTGTCACGATATGTATGATAGATGGTGAATGATGAAGAACCACACACAAACACAGACAAACAAAAGAATATCTCAGGATACTAACCACCATAAAGGTACTCATTTGAACGGGAATTATCAGTCCGGCTCTCATGATCATCGGCCTTTGGCTGCGGGCCAACAAAAGGAGGAGCATGCGACGAAACTCCACGGACTGATCCAGCCAATTGCAATCGTAGATGGCTTTAATGAGATTCTCGCCCTCGTGGCGCACCAGCTCGGCGCTGAAACAGAGCAGCAATGTCTGGGTGGTGAAGACCAGGAAAAGAAAGATCATGTTCACGGACTGCATTGTGCCAACCGATACAAAGATGACGAAAAAGCAAGTCGCACACTGGGCGATGGCTGTGCTGGCAAACTGTAGGAAACAGGACATGGACAGCGAGTGCTCCAACGACCTGAACAGACTGGGACCGAAGGTTAGGGATTTTTATTGCCAAGAAAATATCGATATGGATCTACATCTACAAAAATACCCACTTCATAATGATCTGATGATCCTTTATGCAACTGCGCAGCCGATCGCAGGCCTGGGAGCGTGACAGGCGTGGATCATAGCCGAGGCGAGAGACACGATAGGCCAGGGCCTGGGTGTGGGCGGCTAGCATGATGAGATAGGAGCCCGGATAGGTGTCCACGTTGCAAACCAACAAGGCGTTCTCTATGATGCCGACGCTGTGCAGACTGGCCGTCATCACATAAACTGTAAGGGATGAGTCCTTGTAGTTCCAGGGCATCCAGGAGGGGTACAAAAGTGGCCGATCGTTCGACAAACAGAGAATAAGAATGCTGACGGCTAGAATGAAAATTATCGCACGGAGAAAGCTAATGAATGTAAAGTAAGCTCGGTCAATTCCTTCGAGTATGATTTGCTTCTCGGCCAGAGAACCAATTCGCCCATCCAGATGATGCAGGATGGGATGGGTTTGCAGGATCTGCTTCCGCATTCGCCACAGAAAGAAAACCTTAAGATTTGCGACCGTATGAGGAACTGCCACAGACAAGCTCTCGCAGAAGGACTCCAGGGACGTCGACAGAAGAAAGTTCACCACCATCGAGAGCGCCATGCCCAGACGAAACAAGGCGTTCCACACTATCCCATAGAGCGTGTAGTGGCGACCCCACAACGTCTGCGGGTCTGCCGGATGCATTCCCATCACTCGCCATATCTGCCAGTGGTGTCTGAAGGCGCTCATCGAGTCCACAGGCCGCATGTCGTCAAGTACTTTGGACTGGCCACAGCTTGGCCAGACCCTTTTATAGCCCATTTATCGATTCGACCAAAATAGCTATCCATCTACATGCGTACGAGTACTCGTATCAATTCATTCCGTTAACCGCAAATTATGCAAATTGCTGCAAATGAGACCAAAAAAGTTTGTGGGCCTCTTCCTTCGTATATTTCACACCACACGGAACCCATTTAATCGATACGAATAGAAATTAGACCCACAAAAGGTTGCTCCAACCACGGTCAGAGGTGCGCCACCCTGAAAGCATATTGGCCGAATGGTCCGGGTCTATTGGTCTATCTGTTTGACAATCAGGATATACCACAACTACTCCTTCTGGTTTAAAGAAATCAACGTTAAATTTAATTTCAGTACTCGTACAATATTTAAGGAATGTTTGCCTTTGAAACAAAGAGAATCTCTAGTACCAAGATTTCTTTATTCCAAATATAAACTTTTATAATTTTCTTCAAATTTATTTATTTATTATTCGCCAACGGAATCAAAAAAAAAAAAAAAAAATCCTTAACTGGCTAGGCTAACTTATTTCTATCTTAACAAATAACAAAATTTCCCCCTTTTTAAACAATTCAAGAGTATCAATAGCCTCGACTTTCTCCATTCTACATTATATTCCTTGCCGCTGGGGACTCTTGTGCGGAACCTGTTTCCACTGACCAGAGAGCAATCTGGACCCATAGAAGTGAATCTAGAATCCATTTCAGCGACGTGGCTCACAGGTGGCTTTTATTCAAATTAATAATGCCAAATTGATTATATAACATTTGTCAATGGCAATCTGTTGGGGAATGGAATGGCTGTGGGCAAGCTTAGATACACAGTAGAATTTGTAGTCCATCCGGACCCGCACCCGCACCACACAGCCCGTCATGATTGAATATGATTGATATTGGTCGGTATAAATTATGAACAGGAACGGTAACGGTAACAGGACACGACGCTGATGGAGTCCAGATCCATCAGGGCAACCTGTCGCGACCTTGAGCGTTTGACAAATGAGCTGCGTAAGCCAAAAGATTTGCCCGGCAAGACGGCATAATTAAATTGGCCAACCTGCCACTTCGCATGGGTCTCGATGGGTCACCCACCCGGTGCCGACGACCAGCGAACGGACAAGTCAATTTTCATTCAATTATAGACAATTGCCCTTTGCCCAAGTCCGACCAACCTGTAATCTCCTGTTGTGTCCCCAATTCTACTCTGCACTTGGGGCAACTTTGCAATTGTCAGTTCAATTTATAATATCCCCATATCGATTCATTTCGGTTGACAAACGCATTTCAATTGCCAAATGGAAATCAATTGGATTGGGACGCGCTGCCATGATACCCAGCTCATTATATTTCAACTCAAGGCTGGACTTTCCTGTTGTCTTGAAACCCCATCAAATGTCAAGTGGCATTGTGTTTGTGGGTACGGGTACCCATTCTGCTAGCATACGCAATATAGGGGCGTGACAGGCAGAATATCAGAGGCATTTCCGTAGATAGTCCAGCCATATCCCAGGGTATACTTGTTCATCAATGTGGATCTTTTACTCTTTATTTTGGAGACTTCTCTTCTTTAATTTCCGCCCTAAAAATAAAATCAAAACAACCAACAATTTTTATGATTTTGGAATGCTCTTATTTGGAAGATATAATCTATGCATATTTTAGTATTCATTTTTTACATTTCCCATCTGTTTACCTTAACATTCGATAGAAAAAAAAAAACAACAAATATAATTATAGAACTCGATATAAATCATTTTGACACATCACTCTTTGGAATTACTCTTAACATTTTTTTCAGCCTGACATTAAAAACAAAAATATACATACATATACGAGTCACTGAGAGAAAAACTGGTATAGTTAAGAGAAACACACCAATAATTAACTGCTATATTCGGCATAGTGAAATTAAATAGAATTCAATAGAAATTAAATATGCATTAATGTATTAAAAAGTCTAAAATAAAACACTTTAAAGTAAATATTTTCCTATTTAAATAAAATATATTTCATACCAATTAAATATATTATAATATATTTTATTTAAATAGGATAATATTTAATTTAAGTATGAAATGTATTTATTATAATTATGAAATATATTTAGATAAAATATTTTCATATTAATGGCAAAATGTAAGTGAAAACACTGCCCTTTAAATATGTCCATAAATATTTAAATACAGATGTAACTTGTCAGCCCCGAGCACCGGCTTTTTCTCTGTGTGTATATTTATATGTATATTTTTTTGTGTTTTATGCGACGACATTTGTTGGGCCTACGGAAATGAGCAATTCTATTTACTAGGCTTTCAAATACTCGTATGTATCACATATCCGACAGTTTTCCATTTTAAGCACACGCCAGAGAGTCCACCAAAGTTAATTAAGTTGGGAATGTGGGCAAATAATTTGTTAACGGATCGAAACGTAGCGAAACTGACATGAAACCAGCAAACAATTTGTTTGCATCGTGAGATTATATTTTATAAATTACCATATTGAATATCTGTACAATTAATAATGAGCATCTACAACACATTAGACGCTCCAACTTTATTTGTAACTATCGGAGGGGGAGGCTATCAGACCGAGCTATGGTTACTCTACCCCAAAATTTTCGCCAAATCGCAAAGGGAACTTCTCATTAATTATTTCAATGTATTTCCCTAGAACATATAATGCTTGAATAGGATTCAAGGTATTCAAGTAAACATGAAAAGGAAATATTTGTACCTAAAATAAGGCTCAAGTCGCAGCAAGGGCCGCGGGTACTTTTATAGCGGGTACTCAGAAAATTCTTTCCGGAAATTCAATTTTCTATATTTTTTATGGGACAGAAAGAAAAATGTAACTTGTTAAGGAATTAATAAGTAAAATAAGAAATCCCATAGCCATTGAATATTTTGAAGGCTTAAAATGTTTTTTGGAATATTTAAGGTTAACCATTTCCGAAATATAGATTTCAGAATTACTAGATCTGAAACATCGTAGTTCAGCTGCAAAGACTATGAACACACAATTATACGAGTATTAGCTTTGATATGTCCCATGAAAGGTTTTCCTATAATGAAGCCAGTAGGGGCCTGAAGGGGAAAGGAACAAATTGTTTGAAATCGATAAGAACATATATCGTTTAAATACTTTTTCCCTGAATTAGGGTGGTTGTCAATTCATTTGGTGGTCCACCACCCTAGGGCCAACGAGAGGAAATGCTCATTCCAAAGCTGGACTCATATCAGTCCAACTTTATCTCTTCCTCTCTCTGTGTATATTCTGTCAAAATGCCGTGTACGTAGGACACTCGAACAGGTTCATCTTGCCCCGCGACCCACTTCTAAGAGCCGCGATCTGGGAGATCGGAGGCAACGACGGCGGCCCACGCGCATGCACACAGGTCGGTCTCATGGCTGGTATACGGGGTATATGGGGCGAAAAGTTGTCAAGAACGCGCTTAAAAATAGCCCGATGCCCAAACGAATGTATGAATGAGTGAGCGACTGAATGGCTGAATGGCTGACTCAATCACTGAATGTATCTCAAAGATACAGCAAATGACTTTTAGCTGAAATCAAACAACAAAACGATCAACCAAAAGCAAAAAGTAGTTCCGACTCGGGCCAAGTTTGTCAACAACCCAAGCCCCAAGCCCAGGCCAGAATCGGATCGGCTCGGTGCGGCTCGGATCGAATCGGAGGGAGACTTGTACACCTGGAGCAGAGTGGAGCAGGGGAGGATGATGGTGATGACGCCAACGTTGCTCAGCTGTTTCTCGCCAGAGCCCAGAGTCATCGATGGGTCCTATAAATAGCCCCGGTACCCCTAGAAGTCGCTTCAGTTCAAATCGAGCACTAACAAGTGGCAAATAAACTCATCTTCAGCTTATAATTTTTGTTTGTTTATATTTTTCTTTTTTTTTATTGTGTGTGTTCACAACTTTGTCTAGAAAAATGGTGAGTCGCAGTGGACAAATATCAATCCATGTAAAAAAAAAGCAAATGGAGTACTCTCTTTTTCTCGATTGTTCATTGCTTCATAAAATTACGCACAAAGACAAGGCATACGATCGCGAGTACTCGTACTCGTACTCGTACTCGTAAAGAGTGCATTCAGATGTGGATACGTGAATGGAATACTAAAGTATTGAAAACGCACCTGAAACCAAAGTAAACATGATAAAATATACCAATAAAAACTACATGGAGGAAGGTCCCTCATATAATTGTTGAGTACTTCAGCTTCTGGCTTAATGTTCCGGCTTCCGGCTCAGTGTGTGATTGATTCTTTTCCTACTAGATTCATAGATTCGTAGAGTATCAGAGAAAGACGAAGAGTCCAGCAATACCCATGTATTATTTCAATAAATTGATTCAAAGCAAATTGGTATCATTGATTCGTATTATTTCCCAATGCTTTAATTCTTTGGAACTTACAAAGTTTAAGTGATATTTTTCAAAATGCAAGACACAAAACAAAAGGTAAAACTTTAGAAGAAGAAAGAAGACTTTAAAATCACATTGGTTTTTTGTTTTTTTTTCCGATCTTGTTAAGTCAATTTGTCTTCAGAAAACCATTTATAATATTGGACACACTGTCAAGGAAAATATTTGCTTGGCGGACCAGTCCACAATCGATTCTGTTTTTCTGCTTAAACATCAATCAAAATTAATTGAAGATCATTAATAATAAACCAAAAATTGAATCCAAGAAAGCACTCAACCTTTTTTCCTCATTCCATTCCATTCCTTTTGATTACGCAATCTATGAATGTACATATAATGCCGTAGAAGAGAAGATCGATCATAAAACAACTCAGGAAATCCATCATAATAATAATCCCAAAGGGAACAAAGGGAACCATAGCTGATTCTTAATTCGTTTGTGACTTTTATGGTGATGAAGAAACAGTCAGAACGAAAGTAAAGTAGTATCGAGGAAAACCCTCCATTGCCGATTCCCATAATT